GGCCTACCTGGTGGGGTCATGTTTTCTACTTTAAATTTTTTCCTTACCCATAAGTCATTGGTTCCTATACAGTTAATGGTGTTTCTTTAGACTATCGTCTTAAATAAAAAGTTAAAATACTTGGGGAAGTTTCATGCACATCTACATTACACACGCGTCTGTCCAGATTAGAACAGTGTTTTGTTTTGAATGAACTGGCGGCGAACGATGAAGAGAATGTTCTCAATTGTAATGTCAAACACCAACCAGTAGGTGGCGAAAACTGGCAATAAAAAGCTTTTTGTTTGGCAGCCTGGAGATTCCAAAAGGAAAATGGGACCCTTTCAGATTCTTGATTCAACACCAACCCCTGCCCCTCGCCCTTTGCTCTTCCTGGCGCCACTGGACGCTTCCCCTTAAACAGTCCAAGCTGGCAGAAGGGTTGTCCAATCGGTCTTAACCGCGGGAGTCATTTTGGAAAGCGTGTCCATTTGGAAGTCCCAGGCCAGATTAGAAGCGGAGGCCAGGATGGCTTCCAAGACCTCACCCTCACCCCAAGGCACAGTTCACGTTGTGTCCGCTCTAGGAGTAGTTCTACTGGCTTACAATGGATTCCAATGAGCGTGGGACCCGAAGGGGAGAGTGGTTTCACTCTCAGATTGAAGGAGTATGCAGTCGCCTGAGGGATATAGGACACACCCACCCCACCAGTCACAGGAGTCCTGATGGCATAGTGGTTACTCATGGGGCTGCTAACTGCAAGGTCAGCGTTTCGAAACCATCAGCTGCTTCACGGGAGAAAGACGGGGCTTTCTCTTCCCTTAAAGGTTTACGGCTTCAGAAGCCGGTGGGGGGGGGGGGGGGGCAGTTCTACCCTGTGCTTAAGGCTGGAGCTCAGTCCGAATGAACTTGATGGCAGAGTCTGGTTTTCAGTCCAGGGTTACAGACCCGCCTTGAGAGAGAGGGTGCTTGGTGTCAGGCTGCCACCTCAGGCATGACTCTAAGAAAAACCATGAGGCGAACTATATGGCAACAGAGGAAAATCAAACAAACAAAAAAAGCCCTCCAAGGCAGCCTCCGGGAAGAGGAGGTTGTGTTTCCTTCCGTTTGCCTCTTAAAGCAAATCTCTTTCTTAGCTGTGTCCTCTCACTTCCTCACTCATAAGCTGGGTGTCTGGAGGGCCGAGGCTTCAACACCTTTTCTGGATTGTTTTGAGGGCTAACACCAGGTCTGAGGTAATCTTACTAGGGCTCAATGAAGTCACTCTTGTTGCTGTGGTTAGCTGCCTTTGAGTCACCTTGACTCACAGTGGCTCCCGGTACCGTGGATGGAAACATCCTGGTGCTGGGTCACTCCTGTGGGCAGACAGGGCTTTCATTGATGGGATTTTTGTTGGTGGGGTAGGGGGGATGGGGGGGGGGGCTAAGAAATAAATCACCAGGCCTTTCTTCCTAGTCTGTCTCAATCTGGAAACTGCTGCAAACCTGTTCTGCAACACAGACACACACAAGCCTCTACTTGTCATGGTGGTTGTTCTATTCACGTGACAGGCATAGGAGTCAACTCCAGATGGCCTGAGTGGAAAGCAAGAATTTTACCACAGAACGACTCTTGTCCCTCTCGGAGTCAACCATAATGTTATGGAATGAACGTGGCTCCGCTATTCCTATGAGAGTTTATACCCAGTCCAATTTCCACCCATGGGCTAGCCTAGAGATAGCCTAGCATCTGCCCGCTTCTGCCATCAGGGGCAGCAGGGAGGGTCATTTCTCCCCCCACCCGCTTACCTGGGTAAGGAGTTCCTACTGATCACCCCCTCCGACGTAGGAGACACTTGCCTGCTGGCTAACTGAAGGAACGAGAACCCTGAACGGGGCTTTATTTCGCATCAAGACTTGGTGTCTTCGGACTAGGAAGGAGACACACTATCAAAGATGGCATCTGAACATATTGCCACACATGTTGTTGTTGCTGGATACTACGGAGTCCGTTCCCATTCACAGGGGCCTTGTGCACAACAGAATGAGGCACTGCCCTATCCTGGGCCATCCTCACAATGGTTCCTGGGTCTGAGCCCATTGTTTCAGCCACCGTGTCCATCCATCTCCTTGAAAGCCTGCCTCTCCTTTGCCGCCCTTTTATTTTTACCAAACATGGTATCCTTTCTCCAGGGACTGTTTTCTCCTGCCAATATGTCCAAAGTACGTAAGAGAAAGTTTTGGTATCCTTGACTCTAAGGAGCATTCTGGCCCTATTTCTTCCAAGATAGACCCATTTGCCCTTTGAGCAGTCCAGGCACTTTCAATACTCTGCTCCAGCACCACACTTCGAATGCATCGCGTCTCTTTTGGTCTTCCTTCTGCAATGGCCAACGTGGTAGGGCTCCTTTGGCATGTTTGTGTGATCCTCCTGTCTCTGTTTGTCTTTGAGCCCCATTAGCGTGCCTGTTGTACTTTGGGTTAAATGTCTTTTTCCCTTTTCTTTTTCTTGGTGCTTTAGTCACCAAAGACTCAGAGATAAAAATAGTGAAGCATCTGTAACGTGCTTGTCCTCTTCTGCTGTACATGCCGACAAAATGAAAAAGGTGTACGGGGCTGTAAGTATATGCATGTGTGTGTATATGTAAATAGAAATAGAGATAGAAATAGATAGAGACAGAGATAGAGAGAACGCGCCTCGCTGCTTTAAAGATTGGTGTTTAAGCCAGCCAGAGGTTCCATGAGAAAGACCTGGGGATCTGTTCCCATTAGAATTCAAACCCTATTTCTGAAAAGCTGGTCTGATTCCCAACAACGCTGTGGGATAGAGCGGAAGAGCTTCCCCCACCGGGGTTCCCAGGCTGTCAGTCTTGATGGGAGTAGACTGCCTCATCTTTCCCCCAAGGAGGGCTGCTGGATCCAACTGGGAATCTTTCGGTTCACCAAGACGACCCCTTCTGGAAAAAAACGATATAGCCCAGGAAACCCTGTAGGGCAATTCTACTCTGTCGTACAGGGTTGATAAGAGTTGGAATCAACTAGATAGCCCTAAAGAATAGCAATCTGTGCGGAGAGAGGAGAGAGGGAGAGGGAGAGGTGAGGGAGAGGGAGAGGTGCCAACGTCACAGTGGATTAGCACTGGGCTATTAACCCCAAGTTGGCAATTTGGTCCCCCACAGCGAATGTACAACAGACAGATGGGGCAGGCAGTCACTATAATGATTACAGCAACAGTGACCCAATGGGGGCAATTGTACTGATCCAGTAGGACCAGAGGCGATAGGTTGGGTTTGGGTTCTGGGATCTATTCCCACTCATGGCCCCCACGGGTCACAATAGAACTGCGGACCACAGGGTTTTCAACACTGGGATGTTACAGAAGCAGATCATTAGGCTTTTGTTCCCAGCGGCCTCCGGGGTTGATTTCCAGCCTCCCACAGCCGTTAGGCTAGTGGCCAAGTGTGTCTCACCGACCATTTGCGCGTGTGCGCCCACAGATGCATAGACTTCAGAAGGTGCGGCCCGCCAGGGTTGGCGGCTGGGGAGCCCTTTACAAACCCAACTCGTGTGCTGGGACTGTGGGCCTGAAGTCGCCGTGTGACCCTCCACAGCATCCAGCCCTGACCCAGCGCAGGAATGAGGGGTCGAGAAAAACACGTGGGCGCAACTCCTGCACCGCCCCTCCCTGCACTGGCCCCGAGGGTCAGGTCTGGCCCAGGGCACAGAGGGTGGCTTCAGGTGGAAACCGGGCAGAGAAGAGGTGCGAGATGTGAGCACCGCGTGTGCGCAGGAAGGGCACCGCGGATGCAACTTGGAAGTACACAGGCCGCTGCGCTGCCTGCCTTGGCTGGCGGGCCGATGTGTAGGGTCGCCTCTCTCCACGGGAGGCCAGCGCGGAGGTTCCCGCGGGGGTCAGCGCGGCCTGGGG